TGCTTAAGTCAGGAATAAGACAAGTAAGTTGGTTATTAACAGCATTATTTGATATCGATCTGGAAATGCTGTTTCATTATAAGTCAAGATAATGAAATAAGTATTGCAAAGAAGGAGACAAAATTGTCATTATATATAATAAGGTGACAATTATAATTGTCTACCAGGGAAATTTGAATGAATAAGCTAAAAGTAAAAACTATTAAGAAAGTTGAGTGGGTAAGTCAGTTAAAAATTTAACAAAAAAATCAATAGCTTTCCTATGTAGCAACAATAACCATTTAGAAAATATAAAAGAAGAAATAATTTAGTCCAGTAGGATAAAAAATGCATAAAGTCGCTGGGAAAAATAAATTCATAAATTTAATGCAATTTTCATGAAAATTCCAGCTTTTCTTTGAACTTGGAAAATTTTATAAAGTTATCTGGAATAATAAATATTCAAATAGAGATTAAAAATTCTGAGAAAGTAAGACTAACAAAAAAGGACTTGTCCTATGACATATTAAAATATATTATAAAATTGCATAAAAATGTAGTGATTTTGCTTCCAGAATGGTTAGACTGATCAATGAAATAGAAGAAAAAGACCAGAAATAGATTCAACTTTATGTAAGAATTTAATATCTGGTATACATGTTGGGAAATCAGTGTGGCAAGTATGAATTGTTCAATAAATTATATTGTGGCAAATAACTTTTTGAAAAAATTATATTCCTATGTCACATTTTATACTAGAATAAATTCCATTTGGAGCTAAATGAAATAATCACTTGTTAAAAACTCTTAGTAAATTATAAATAGAAGTAATTAAAGAAGTTCTAAAACATATAGGTAAATATCAGTTTTATTTAGGCTAATAAAGCCTTTTTAGGCTTAACATCAAAGCCAGAAACCAGGAAGAAAATTTTGATAGATTGACCATTTAAAAATTATAGCAAAACAAGCAGTTTTTACCCCTTTCCTCCCCCAGTAAATGATCAACTGGGGGAAAAATTGTAAAATATACAAGAGACAAAGGTATGTTTTCCTTATAATGCAAAGAGTTCGTATAAATCAAGAAGGAAAAAGACAGATATTTTCCCTGAAAAACATTTTCTCCTACCTCAGAGAAAAATGGGCTGAGGAGGTAAAAAGGCTATTCATGTTAGAAATCAATTGGTCATGTGAAAAACATTCAACCTTCTAATAATCAAAGAAATGCACATTCACAAAAAAGGATATCACTTTTAATTTTCGGATAGGCACATTCTAAAAAGAACAAATCCACTCTCATGAGTGCATAGGAACTACATACCATGACCACCACTGGGGAGAGATACCTTCCCGTATGTAATAAGGGCCTATGTATAAAAACTTAGCCAGGGGCTTCCCTGGTGGTGCAGTGGTTGAGGGTCCGCCTGCCGATGCAGG